GGCCTTGGCCTTTGTTCTTTGACCCTGTTTCTCCCAAATGCTGTGAAATCCCAGTCTGCATGCATTCCTTTTTAGATTTCTGAATCTAATCATCCAAGGCCTAGCCTAAGGTGTCTTCATTTTCTTGTCTCATGGTGTACAGTGATTTTAAACAATCACCGGCCCGGTGTTTTGGTGTACATGTGTAGTCTGGGCAGCAAAGAGGCAGAGGAGACCCCATCTCAACAGAAGTTCTACCTTGTCCAGGAGCTTACGTTATTTTCAATGCTGAAGACACATACACTGTTGACCTCCTGGAAATGGAAGTCTGTGTCTCCTTGCTAAGCCTGTTTCCTCATTTGAAACATGTATTGTACAGACCAAATTAGGTTATTAATGTAAAACTCCTATGCCTGGCACTTGTAACTAACACTGAAATTTGTTTGTTGTCAGCCTTGGTGAGTGAATCCAAGGCCCCAAACATGCTAGGTAAAGTGACTCACCAGTGAGCTATATCCCTAGATGTCCTTTATTTTGTATTTTCAGAGTCTCATTGATTTGACCAGGCTGGTCTTGAAATTACTCTGTAGTCCAGGCAATCCATGGTCTTAGAATCCTTCTGCTTGAGCCTCTTCAGTATTCTGGATTACATGCCTGGGCCACCATGCCTGGCTTATTTAACATTATTTTTATTATTATTATTATTTTGGTTTTTTGAGACAGGATTTTCTGTGTAATATCCCTGGCTGTCCTGGACTCACTGTGTAGACCAGGCTGGCCTCAAACTCAGAGATCTGCCTGTTTCTGCCTCCTGAGTGCTGGGATTAAAGTCTGTGCCTGTTTGCTTGGAAACCCTTTTCCCAGCCCTTTATTCTGAGGTAATGTTTATCTTTGATGACGAGGTGTGTTTTCTTGTATGCAGCAGATTGATGGATTGTGGTTTCACATCCACTCTGTTAGCCTGTGTCTTTTTATTGGGGAATTGAGTTAACTGATGTTGAGAGATATTAGTGACCAACGATTATTAATTTCTGTTATTTTGATGTTTGTGGTGGTAGCATGCGTCTGCTTCCCTTCTTTTTGTTTTGTTCTTGGAGAATTGTTTATTTTATATCCCGTGTAATCCTTGGATTAGAGTTTTTCTTCTAGTATCTTTGTAGGGCTGAATTTGTCGATAGACGTTGTTTACTTTTTTGTTATTGTTGTTGTGAAATATCTTGTTTTCTTCCTCTGTAGTGACTGAAAGTTTTACTGGGTATAGTAGTCTGGGCTGTCATTTGTGGTCTCTTAGAGATCTGCCCAGGTCCTTCTGGCTTTTCAAGTCTCTGTTGAGAACCTGGGTGTAATTATGATAGGCCTGCCTTTATATGTGACGTGGCCGTTTTTCCCTTGCTGCTTTTAATAGTCTTTTTTTGTTCTGTACATTTGGTGTTTTGATTATTATATGGTGGGGAAATTTTATTTTCTGGCTTTATCTATTTGATGTTCTGTAGGCCTCTTGCATGTTGAAAGGCATCTCTTTCTTTAGGTCAGGGAAATTTTTTTTTTCTATGATTTTGTGAAAAATATTTTCTGAACCTTTGAGCTGGGAATCTTTTCCTTTTTGTACTCCTATTATTTTTAGGCTTGGTCTTTTCATAGTGTCCCAGATTTCCCTGATGTTTTATTTCAGGGACTTTTTAGATTTAACATTTTCTTTTACCCATGTATTGATTTATTCAAATGTATCTTCTAAGCCTGAGTCGGAGGACTCGGGCCTAGGTTATGTGTGCGGGTGTCTTACCTGGTATCCCTGGGTCTGGCAGTCCTCTGGGAAAGCAGAGTGCTTTCAGGTGAGTTGGCAGGCAGGGGTAGCACTCTTTTTAAAATAACCTTGAGTTTAATTAGTATTGTTTGCTTGCACCCTCAACACTGGTCGACTGCACCCCCCACCCTGTGCCCCATTTCTGGCCCCACAACTCCGAAAGTCTGACAGACCCTGTGACACAGGTGATCTTCACCCCAGGCCCCTGCCTGCCAACTCCTCCGAAAGCACCTCCAACAGTAAACTGCACTCCCTATCCTGTGCTCCATTCCCTGCCCCACAACTCTGCCTGCCCTTCCCAGAGGCCTGTGGTTACACACGAAGAAAAATGGCTCCCCATCTCATAACTTCTCAGCTTGGGGTGGGCCTCCGTTGCTCCCTGCTCTATTCACGATTCAGTGCTGACAGGGTCTAGACTGTGCAGGGAAGTGCAGCGGCTGTGGGCTCGTGACTTTATTGAAACATCTGTCTGACTTTTTATAGGTGTAAACAGTGCACTAAAGTGAGATGAATGTGCAAATAATGTTAGTCTTTGAGAGATTACGTATTTATTAAGAAATACAGTTGTAAAAAAAAAAAAGAAATACAGTTGTTTCTATTTCAAATAAGAACCAAGTAATTAAATGCCATTGGTAGCCTAGATCTTGATCAAGGGCATGGAGGTTGATTGAAGGGCAATCCTCAACTAATTTGCATACTTCTTGAAACAAAGGAATTTGAAAACATTTCCTTCCCCTCCTATAATCAAATAAGACTCTAAAGGGATATAAAGTGGATTTTCTTCTCATACCAAAGTAGGCTGTGTCCTAATTTTCTATTGTTACAAAGTGCCAAATTGCATGAAAAGATCCTTTAACGTCCACAGATCCTTCCAGTGTAAACAGTTCCTTTTGCCAAGCTGCCTTTAGGTCAGCCCCGGCTTTCTCCGGGTTGGCAGAGCAGACTCGCGTTTCTCTCAAGGGCATTTCTTTAGCAGATGCATGGTGATATTCTTCACAGCCAGCATGGTCTCTATGCACGTGGGTTTTATGAGCATCTCCGGCAATAAGAATCCAAAATGCCCAGTGTCTCGAAGTTCAAAAGCAAATGCATAGGGTATTCCGTTTTTATAAGCCCAATCCATCGAGTTCCCAGAGCTTACGTCTAAGAGGCAAAAAGAAAGATGTGCTTCACTAAAGGGTATGTGTTAATTTTCACACACACACACACACACACACACACACACACACACACGCTTGTGGGCATATAAAATACATGTTCACTAAACTCTATCAAATTCTTCCAAAAAAAAATCTCTTTAGTAAGAATGGTTTAAGACAGATGGCTAAGCAGGTAAACCTGCTGCTGTGAAGGACTTGAGTGGAACCCATGTGAAGATGAAAGGACAGAAGTGACTCCACGTGGTCTGACCTCTGACCCCTACATGCATGCTGCCTCATACATAGTAATAACAGACACAAATTAAAAGACGGCATTAACAGTAGTTCTTCGGCATCTGGCTCACAGATCTTACAAATTATGCTTGCTGTCACCTTTGAGTACCTGGTCTAAGCATTAATGCTATGTCAGTGTAACGGCCTCCAAGTTTCTCAACCTCAGTTTCCATAACATTTCTCTTCACCCTTGCTTTGTTTTCTTCATTCACCAGGAAGTACACTACACTGAGAGCCCTTTGTTGTTCTTATAGCTTGGTTGTTCCCTTTCAAGGTCTGGGGAACTGGAAGTCTGTCTCCTGAAGCCCCCTTGTCTCCTCCACTTCCTCTGTTCTCTCACTCCTGTTGAGCACCCTTCCTGCCTTCAGCCTTTAGTTTTCTGACCTCCCCCTCCCCCCCCCCCCCTCACTATGCTTTCATTTCTCTTGGCCATGGCTGATTATCTCACTAAAATTTCCCCCAGATCTTCCCAGTGCCTTCCCCTGTCTGTACTCTGCTGTAGCTTCTCCAGTGATCAACCTACCACCAGTTTCTCTGACTCAGTCCAGGGAAGGGCACCACAGAGAGAGAGAGAGAGAGAGAGAGAGAGAGAGAGAGAGAGAGAGAGTCTTTGTAGGGGAGTGGCTTGTGTGTGTGCATTGTCTAATCACAGGTGATGCTCTGTGCTGTCATAGCCTGACATTTCCTGGACTTTGTCATTCTCAGTTTATCCTGCCCCCATTTTATCTCTGTCCCCAAAATGGTTCTGCATCATCTCCTCTGCTGACACCGGAACCCCAAGCTTTCCCTTTTCAGCTGCTCTCTCTCTCTCTCTCTCTCTCTCTCTCTCTCTTTCTCTGTCTCTACCATGTGATACTGCCTTGTCTGTATTGTGGATCTCTTCCAAGTCCTTGTGTCACTCACGGATTTTCACACCTTACCTCTGCATTGGCTAAAATGCTCAGGGACCCCTCCTCTTCATAATATTGCCATGCACCGCTGGTTAGCACACCCCCCCCCCCAACCGCTCCTCATTTTGTTTTAGAAGTCAAGGGAATTGAAAGACAGCTCCACTCTCAAACACTATCAGTCTCGTTCTTGTCTCTTTTGTGTGGTGATCTTTGTTCGTGAAGGTCACCAATGACAACATATCTACTCTCCTTTTCTGTTTTGTTTTTTTTTTCCTCTCCCCTCAGATACTACTGTTAGCCTCTCCGGAGCACTTAACATAGCTAACAATCCGTTCTGGCTACTCTTCCCTCTGGCTCTGCAACTCTGGCCGCGCATGCTGTGGCTTTTCAGGTAAGAACTGAAAACACAGGCACTGATGAAGATGCCCTGCCTATGCGCCAGACATCCAGTTCCACCTGCTGCACAGGGTTGCTGCGAAAATGAAATGAAATAGTAAATCACTTGAAAGCACTGAGGATGTATTAGTTACTATTATCTTACTTATTTACACCCCAAAGTGCCTAGCATATAGAATTTGGAATAAAAAGCTCCGAAGGGAATAATTTAGTAAATGAATTAATATTTCACAGGAAAATCTTGACGTGCTTTCTTCTCTGAAATATGTATGATCCCGCTTGGCATACATACGCTACTGTTACTGAATTTCCGGAACATGTTCATTTGCCCGAATGAGGCACTTTTTAAAGTGCCTGCGCGTGTGCATGTGTGTGACAGTGCACACGTTTGTGAGACAGCGCGCGTTGCCTGTGTGCCTGTGTGTACCACAGCATACATGTGGAGATAAGGGCATAACCTCACTCATTGCCTTTACCGTGTTCGAGACTGCATATGCTAGCTGGCCCACGGATTTCCGAGGTTCTCTTGTCTCTGCCTCCTACCCTGTAGTAGGCGCAGTAGCATTGTAAATGGGTACTGCTGAGTCTGGTTTTAACGTGAATTCTGAGGTTTTAAACTCTGGTCCTCATGCTTGGCACAGCAAACCCCTCACATCCCACCCCTTTGTTTTTTGATCCCACAGGGTTTATGTGTGTGGCCCTGGCCATCCTGGGACTTGCTCTGCAGACCGGGCTAGCTTTGAACTCAGAGATTTGCCTGTGTCTGTGTCCCAAGTGCTGGCCACCACCACCAGGCTTTTCTGTAAAAAAACAAACAAACAAATGCACAAACAAATACAAGTACACACAAAAACAAGACAAAACAACAACAGAACACAACCCAACAGAATCTCATTATGTAGCCCTAACCTGGCCTGAAACTTGCTCTATGGACTACAATGGCCCAGAACTCACTATCTAAACCAAGAGTTATTTGTAAATCCTCTTTCCTCTACCTCCAGAGGGTGAGGATTACAAGTATGTACCATATTGCCTGGTAGCAAGATGTTTTTTCATACAATTTCCTGGGACAAGGTCAGATGGGCTCATTACATGAATAGGATAGCCAAGCAACTCCAGCACCTTTCAGTTTCTGGTGGCTTTGGCTAAGGATAGAAAATGTGCTATGGTTTCAGTGTCCCTCTCCATAGAGCACAAACAGAAGCCAAAGTTGGAGATAGCATGTGCCAAGCATTACATCATGCTGATGTGACAGGCTCATTTCTATGGTAACAGATTGTTCTCTGTAAATGTAATTATGTGGCTATGTCTTTGTACCAAGAGGAAAAGGCTGGTAAGACTTAGAAAATAACTTAAAATTGTTCATAAAGGTATTACGTTGGTATCAGTTGGAATGTTATTTCTTGTAAATACTACTTTTTCTTTCACAATAACTATTAAAAAGCAATTCTAAAGCTAGGCAATGTAGCTGGACTGGGCCAGGATGGTAAACTTCAGGTAAGCTTTGGCTATATAGCAAGACCATGGCAGAAAGGAAGGCAGGGCAAGTAGGAGGGACAGAGGAAGGATGAATCAGAGAGAAAAGCGGAAGGGGTAGAAGAATGGAGAAAAAAAGGAGCTAGGTGGGAAGTAGAGGAAGGAGGAGAAACCATTTTAAAAGGTCAGCGTGGACCAATGATCATGAAGTATGGATTAAAACTAGTAACACTTGTGCCCTTCTCACTTTTAGCATAAACTCATTTGACTTATAAGGTCAATGAACAACTGGCCTTTGTGGAATAAAATGAGGGGTAGGACAGTAAGACTATGTAAAGAAACCATGGAGAAATTTGGCCTTATGGAGAAACATTATCAGATGCCAGTATATTTTACAGACTTACAGCCCGTGCTCGGATGCACGCACAGACATTAATGACCCATGATTTTTCACTATATCTTCCCAGTAACACTACACGGTAGAATCTGGAAGGTCATGAGAAATGATGTAATCTAATTGCTCATTTTGCATTTGAAGAAATTAAAAACCAGAATCAATCAATACCCCGGCCAGGACAATACATCTGGCCGCTTGGGACTAGAATCCACACCTTACAGTATCCAACTTATTTCCATATACTGGTTCCTTTTTATTTTATATAAAAGAAACACTTTACAATCAGTCTTCAAGAGAAAATCGAGATGCAGATGCTATATACGAAATGGCATTTCGTAACAGGAGTGGTGGAGGAAAGGGACAAAAGGGAAGCTGCTGGAGAGCTGAAACCTTTACTTCATTATCTTCCTGAGGCCATTTCCACACTTAGAGAACTTAAAAATTGCTTAAGGAGCCCATTTTGGTACTTTCCACTGTCAAGGGATCTCAATTCAACTTGCAGTCATTACTGCAGGCTTAGCATGTTCTCGGCTCAGAATTGGTTTAAATCGGTACAGCGATTTCTGTCAAGCTGTGGGAACTGATCAGGTATCAACTCTCCCCATCTTCTTTGGCTAATCTGATAGTCACAAGTTTTGCTTTAGGAAGAACACACTTTTTTTTTTTTTTTTTTAAAAGGGAAATCGTGGCACAGGATATTGGTTCAAGGGAGATGACTCTAATGCGACATGCACAGGAAACTTACACAATGTTTGGGAGGCAGGGCCGTGTCTGTATCGTATTCCATGTACCGACCGAAGTGCCTTCACGGCTTTGTGAGCTGCAAATTCCTGTGAGGGCAAAATGGAGAAATCGTGTCACTTAGATTGCTGCACTGAAACTTCTAGAGACACTGACATATTGCTTGAGCCTTATAGGTGGACAACAGAGAGAAACAGAGCTGATTCATTAGTTAACAGCTATATTTAATAATAATAATTATTATTATTATTTGTGGTGTTATGTAGTACAGTTTGCAACACACTTTGTTGTTTTGTTTTTGTTTTTAAAGTACTGAGTTGTGTATACAACAGATACTTAATCAACATTTCTCATAGAAATGTTGAAGCATAAGTCTGTAAGGATATTCAGACAATCATATTGAGCCATGAGTATAGATTTTAGTAGGTATATATACACATCTGGATGAATTAAGAAATCAACAAAGAAGGCTGACTCCCTTTATGCCATGTGGTTATTCCCACTGGGAACAAGAATGTTGATTTAATGATGCCTCCTGACTTCCGAGGATACACAGCCTCTCACAAAGCGAAGTCAAGCTGCTGATAAGACGCAGAAAGTCCAAGGTGGAATTGTCCTGTTGATGCAAAAGTCAGGGAAAAACAACAACAACATCATCACACAAACACACACACTCAACATGTTTAGCCAAATCCTAAATGTTGGCTATTCTAATAGAATAATACTGCTCTTTAAAACCTTCTCAGGTGATATCAAAGGACCAGTTTTAGCAAGGGCTTACACAGGTGTTGGATGACAAATGAGGGGAACAGAAGTAGCTGAAACGAGCACAGGCCTCTCCCATTTCAATTTGCCCGTGAATAATTTACTACTCCATCTGAAGCACCCTGGGGAACATGATAGCGTGCGGAGGGCTGAGCATCGCATCCTGGTCCTTGCTGAGCTCCTGAACGCACGCACCCAGCATTGTCTGCAGCATGGGCCACCCTCTGCGGCTACCCCAGGGCGGGGCTCCAGGCCCTGGCAGGCCATTTCACACTGACCTCACTGATGCTGACATTCTTACAGGAGCCGAAAGGAAAGAAACGTAGACATTGTCATGAGGCGTCTACGGAAAAATGTCAGTATTGTGTCGAGCGCCCTTGGCAATATCCGAGGGCAGGCTTCTCTACATGTAGACGATTACCGCATTTTGCTGCTCAGGGGGCTGGTGTTTCCATCACTTTTGCTGACTATGAAAAATGCCTTAAGAAGCAAAGCGCCACTTTGCTCATTTAGGCAAAGTGTGTGCACAGTTTTAACTGTTCTTAAATTAAGTTGGCATACAAAGTGGCGGAATTCATTGTGGATTTTTCAAGCACGTGTCATAATACTTCGTTCTCATCCACCCCTTTCCCCTGCCTTTCCTGTGTCTTTCCTCCCTCTAGACCCCTTTTCTATTTTTATGCCACTTGTATTGCATTATCCTCTCTTCCCCCTGCACTCCTTTCTTACGAGCTCTTCTTCCTTGGCATGGTCCTCTTCAAGTTTGATGACAAGGGTACACACCCAAACCCGCCCTCTCCCCATGCCCCCCCCCCCGAGAGATTTTTAGATCAAGGTTATTCATATAAGAGAAAATGGGAGGTATTTGTCTTTCTGAGTTGGTTTATTTTGTACCATAATGATTTATACCTTTATCCATTTTTTTTCCATGCAAATGTCATGATTTTTTTCTTTATAGATGAATGAATTTCCATTATGTATATGGACCACATTTTCTTCATTCATCTGTTGGTGGGCGTCTAGGCTGGTTCCATCCACTGGCTATTGTGAACAGAGCATCAATGAACACGGATGTTGACTTATGGCTAACAATAGTATAGCTGGCTATTGTGGTCGTTCTATTTTGAGTTTTGGGGGAACCTCCACATGGGCTTCCACAGCATCTTATGACAGTTTTTGGATCCACCAACAGAGCACAAGGGTTAGTCTTTGCCACATCCTTACCAGCATTTATTGTTGCTTTTCTTGATAACAGTCATTCGGACTGGGTGACTTAGACTCTCAAGGCAATTTTAATTTGCATTTGCCTCATGTTGAATACTTCTTCATATATTTATTGGTCACTTGTATTTTTTGAGACATACTCGATTCATTCGACCACTTATTTATGGGGATGTTTTTTTTTTTTTAGAAGTGTTTGGGTTTTGTAGGTCTATGAGTATCCTAGACAAGCAGTTCCAAACTGGTATTTAGTTTGCAAAGACTTTTCCCTATTTTGTAGGCTCCTTCACCCTGCTGACTGTTTCCTTTGCTGTGTAGAAAGTTTCTAATTTCATGTAACCCCCTTACCAGTTTAGGGAATTACTTCTTATGCTATTGGAGTCCCCCCCCCCCACCCCCCAGATAATCCTTGTCTTTATCTTATGCCTATGTTTTCCTCAAAACTTTCCATTTTGGCCTTTGATCCATTTTTATTTTATTTTTGGGCAAGGTGAAAGGGTTTAGTAATTTCATTCTTCTGCCCATGGTTATTCCAATTGCCCTGCATAGTTTGCTGAGGAGGCTGTATTCATGCCAGTGAATGTTTTTTGTAACCTTTTAAAACAAGTATGTTGCTTGTGTGATTTGTGTGATGTCTTAGTTAGGGTTTCTATTGCAGTGAAGAGACACCACAGCAACTCTTATAAAGGAAAACATTTAATTGGAGCTGGTTTATGGATTCAGAGCTTTAGTCTATTATGGTCATGGCAGGAAGCATGGCAGCATGCGGGCAGACGTGATGATGGAGGAGCTTCAAGCAGAGAGTTCTACATCCTGAACCATAGGTAGCAGGAAGAAAGGGTGAACCACTGGGCCTGGCTTGAGTTTCTGAAACCTCAAAGCCACACATCCTGTACTCCCTCTGGCGACACATTTCCTCCAACAAGACCACACCTACTTCAACAAGGGCACAGCTCCCAGTAGTGGCTCTCTCTATGGGCTTATGGGGGCTGTTTATAGTCAAACCACCACGTGTGGATTTTTATCTTTTTATTTTTTGGTGTGCCCTCTATTTTACTCTGTTGTTCTACATGTCTATTTTTATGCTAGTACCATGCTGTTTTTGCTAACTGTGCCTCTGTAATATAACTTGAGATGAGGTGTTAACGGTTCCCCTACCGTTACTTTTTCTGTTTTGGGTATTTTGGTTCTTTGCTCTTAGATATGAATTTTAAGATTTTCCTTTTCTTTTTCTATTTTTTGGATGCTGCTTTTAGACTTTTAAAAACATTTTAAATAAATAACATTATTTTATTTTTTTGCTTTATGTGTATGCGTGTTTCTTGTTTCTTCACGTATGTCATCGCATCACATGGATGCATGGTGCCTGTGGAGGCCAGAAGAGGGTACCAGAAATCCCTGGAACTGGAGTTATAGGTGGTTGTAAGCTACCATTTGGGTCTCTAGAGGAGCAGCCAGGGATCCTAACTGCTGAGTCATCTCTCCAGTCCCCATGTTACTGAAATTTTGATGAGGATTGTATTAGCTCTGTACATCACTTTTACTAATACAAGGCATTTTCATAACTTTAATTCTATCCTTCCATGAGCATGAGAAGTATTTGATCTCCTTGTGTCTTCTTCAATACAGAAGAAACAAAGTTAAATAAAAGGGAAAAGAAGAACAGTGGGGAATATTGTGGAGAGAAAAAAGCAAGAAATTTAAAAAAACAAACAAAAGATTTCTCAAGGAAGGAGTTCAAAATGTACAAATGGATCCATTTACGAAGTGGGGCTTAAAGAAGGAAGGCTTTTATTTTAAAATAAGAGTGAGCGTGATAAAGTAAAAATGTTACTTAAAGGTAGAGTAAAAAGAACAAAGGGGAAGGGCAAACACAGGCAAGAGAAGAGAACAGCATGAAATGATTACTCTATAGCAAATATATATATATATATATGCAAGATTAGGTGCTTGTATGAAAAGAAATAAAACATAAAAAGAAAAAAATTAAATGTCACAGTAAAAGTACTGCTAAAAGTGTATGCTTAGAAAAGAGGCAAAAGGTGGTAAAAATGAAGCCCTTGCAGACTGCCAGTTCAACCTACCAGGGGACCTGCCAGAGGACCTTGTGTGTTCTTGTTTTCTTGAGCATTCTTGCTAGTGTTGAGTATGTACTGGACTGGGCCTGACCTCCTCTGGGGCTGTCTGCAGTTAAGATTGTATGCTGTGTGCTGAGCAGACTTTCTCTCCCTTCTGGGATTCCCTTACCACATTACTCACTGGGGAACCTAATGTTCTTGCATGCAGAACTTTCTCCCTGGGAGGGACAAGGGGGAGGAAGCAGTCACAGCAGGGAGCTATGCAGACATTGTCTGAGTGTGTGCTCCACAGCTGCCTCCCAGGGTTTTCTGTCACCTGGGGGACATGGAGAGTTAAATTGGATCTCCCTGATTTTGGATTGTTCCCTGCTCTCAGGCCCTCAGCAGGATAGCTCAGTTTTAGAATGGGGCCCAGTCCGTCCCCTCTGAATCACACAGAATCACGGAACAGAATTCCTTTCTGCTGTACACATTTCCACCAAGGCATCACTGTATCATCAAAGTCTATAGCTGGATTTGAGGCTTGTGAGGGCTATGGGCTTTGTCTGGCGGAAACCCCCAGTCTCTTCACCAGCGCTGCCTGGCTGTCCTTTCAGATGGGGCTCTATACACCACCTCCCTTCTGTATCCCCTGCTCCCACTAGAATTATGTTTTCCTTGGTGTTTTTCTTTTTCTTGTGTCACCATCCTTCTCTCTGCACTTACCCAGGATACTATCATGACCTGTGAGAATTGTAATCTCTTTAGAATGGAGTATACTTTTCTTACATTGACTCTTGTCTTTGACTAGGTCAAATGGAGGCAGCTTCTGGGCCGCCATTTTACCTGGAAGTCTCTCTGAGTTAATTGTTCTTCTGGTGTTTTGGTGCACAAACTGTGCTGGTAAGTGGATTAGGTATGTTCTGTTCACTGAGAGTGGCCATTTCATCTTTCCCCCTTAAGAATTGTTCTCAGGGCTGTACATTTAGTCATAAGGAATTACTCCATTCCCCAATTGTCTCCTCTTTTCAATTGACCAGAAGGACTTTTGGACTTCAGCTAAGCAAGAAGCACATTTTCATGAAAGTATTTCCATTTGAAGTAGTTTAATGAATGACTTTAAAAGGTTTGTAGAAACTCTTACATATTGGTGGAATATTTTAAAAATTTTTAATGGGATGTGATGATTTCTGATTAATATTCTGGGATTGCTGGGTTTCTAAAAAAAATTTCATTTTAGTTTTAGTGATCTAGTTTATGTTGAACCCATTCAACATATTTCTCTCTTCCTATCCCTCCCCCATCCCATATATTTTGGTATTATGTGTATGTGTGTGAAGTATGTTAGTGCATGTGCACCCCCCCCCTTCTGTGTGTGTATTTGAAGCCAGAGAAGGTGTTGGAGCCTTCCTCTACTACTTTGCTACAGTTCTTTGAAGCAGGGTCTCTCCCCAGCTGGAAACTCAGTTGTTTTTTGGATAGGTTGGTAGCCAGCATGCCCAGCAATTCTCTTATTTCTGTCTCCCAAGGTGCTGAGGTTACAGATGTATGTAAGGCCACACTTGGCTTGTCGCACGCACACAGGGGTCTGAACTCAGGTCCAGCAAACACCCTTCACCCCTAAGCCATCATCTTGACAGTCTCCACGGCGGATTTCAAAACAGTGATGTGTGGGTTGAAGGATGAATTGCTCTGGGTGGGAGTGGGGTGCAGTTCTGTGCATTTTGGCGTGTTTAACAACAACCTTGCATCCCTCATCCCTACTGCAGCCGTCTAAGAGAGGGAGCTGAATTATGAATGAGCAATGATCCGGCTGATTGTGCCATGTTAAGGGAAACAAATACCGATAAATAATGGGCTCTGAAATCGTCTGGTTAGTGAGCACGTGGTGGGGCTAGGAGGAGGCATGGCAGCTCCGGCCTCTACTGAGCCTTGCGTTATGCACACTTTCCCTTTGGCTATTCCCAGGGTGTGTGTTTGACATGTTGATAACAGTAAAGCATTTCTCTGGGATCTGAGTCGTTCCAGTAAATTATGGAAACTGGGATGTGGGGGTAGGGGGGAGAAGTGCGAACCTCGGACTCCAGTTACACACAAGCGTGGCATTCTCCCGCTTGAAGTTGGTATCTGGAGTGGATGCCATCTCGTGGGACTGCATTCCTACCCTGTGGAATCTGATCAATCCTCGGAGAAGTTATTGTCGGAGCTCAGCTGAATTGGCCACTTGGTTGGTGTTGGAGAAATGAAAGGCATCTCACATTTAGAATCAGGAAATGAAGGAGAAAGAACAACCAGAAACCTTAAGTTTATAGCTCAGTAAATGATCACAAACGGAACACATGCCGTGACCTTTTGGGCCAAGGGAGAGAGTAACAGCAATGATCCAAAGCTCCCCATGCTCTCCCCCGATCACTCCCCTTCTCTTCCCCAAAGGTAACTATTTCATCTTCTAACACTATTTATTAGTTTTCCTGTGTTTTGAACTTTATAGGCCTTCTGATGCTATAGGCTCTGAAATGGCTCCCTTCATGGTGAAATATGTCCTGTAGGGAGTAGCTTGTTGCATCTGTGAGATAAGGAGAAAAAAACCTTGTCTTTTTTGCCTTTGTTCAATCTAGCCCTGAAATTCTGTTTGTCCTTAGCACTAATGCGTCAGCCATGCACCCAGAGTCTTAGAAGCATTACGCAAACAGCACTTATAAATTAAACCTTGCTTTTAATTAATGAGTCAGACTATAATTTATGCATGATTATTGACCCAATAAAGTTAATTACAGCCCCGCATATGTGACCAAAGCTGTAATATTAATCAAATCCATTCTGACCTTTTCTGTGTAACCCATGGTAAGTACGTAAAATCGGTTTGAAATGATTGCATTTGGGAATGCAGTTAAAAGGACAGCAGTTAAAAGGAATAATCCTGGAGCTAGACTTGGGGCCACGCCTAGGCCACAACCCTGAGAATTGTTAGCCTAGCTGCTTAATCTTCCGAGCCTCGGTTTTCTCGTCTGTCAAATGGAACCAAGAAAATTTATAAGGACTAGATAAGTTAATTAACATAAAATACTTCAATAAACATGTCTGCTACTGTCTCTAGTACTCAGAATCACAGCCTTAGGAAGAAAAGCATGAGGCCTGATACCCACATAGAAGAACACGTACTTACCACGCAGCTAAAATTGGGGATTGTTGCGTGTTTGTAAGAATAGGGATACAGCAACATCTGAGCATAGGCGTGAAAGGACAGGTAGGCCCTAATGCGCTTCCTGTGTTTCCGAAGGAAGTCAGCCACAGCCTTCACTTCCGGCTCCGATTCTGGGAAAGGACCACAGTATGTATCATCACAAGGGTGTGCGGAGGCCCCTTCATCTGCAAGTCAGAAGAGAAAACGGGGTCGGTGTTCAGGCGGGGAAGAAGGCAGAAACACCAACAGGCGTTGTTCAAAAAAAAAAAAAAAAACCTGGCGACGTTATTGAGTAATAATACAATTTCTCATTTGCAGAAATCAATAAGGAAAACTCTGGGCTGACTCAAGCCTTTGCACTACAGTGGGCCCGAACGGGGGCCAGACGCTGGTTGTTTAGAGCTCCGAGGAACACTCTGAGTGAACATCTCGTCACTGCTGTTTCTCCTGGAGAAACAGCTCTGCACAACCCCCCTAGGATTCTCATTTATATGCCCCGCAACAGCTGTACTGTCTTTTCATAATATTGAACACACATGTAATTAATGTTCAATATTTACCCACTTAACATTCAGCCAGCGTGCACACTGCTCTGGAAGCCCGAGAGACAGTGGAAGCAACGCAGAAAAAACTCTGCTCTGTTGGAACCTATGTCCTGCCTGGGTGCTTTGCTGGGCTCTTTCCTCTTGCTGGATACCGAGCGGCTAGGACAGTTGTATGAGAAGTGTTTATTAAAGAACTCGGCGTCAAATCAAAAGAAAAGGGCAGACATTTGGAAAAGTGTCTGATAATACACAGATATTGATAGAATAAGATTATAAATATAGGACGCAACACACGCCTATTCAAAATCTATTATAGTTTTAGATGATAGATGTCCACACTGATTTCTAAAAACCCAGGGTAGGTCTCATCTTGCAGATCCACTTGTGTGAAGAAAAACCTTTTAAACTAAATTTTATTTATTTATTTATTTATTTATTTGTTTGTTTGCTTATTATTCTTTCGAGACAGGGTCTCATGTGATCCAGGCTGCCATTAGCTCCTAAGTTTCCTTCGTCAGCTGTCCTTGGGCACCAGGATTACAGGTGTGAGCCACCATGCTTGGCTCAAATTTTAAATTTTTAAAACTTTTTTTCAAAAACTATTTTGTACAGAGTAGACTTATCAAGAAGTTTATGGCGGGGATGGCAAAGCTAAGGAACACTATCATGACCACAAAGCATGGCTGTTCTGAGAGATTTGGGCTATAATCATATTTTTTGAGTTTATTTTACATCGGTGTCCATTATCATTCCCCTACTTCTAGAAAACAATACCAGCCTCTTCAATCACTTAACTCATGGCTGGAATGCACACGGTTGAACCTATCAGTGAGCTGGTTTGAAGCATTTACAGAAGGTAACAGAATGGGATAAAAGGCTAGAAAAATGAGTCAGAAATAAAAGAATATGAGAAGTAGAATAAATATCAATGTGATCAATAGGGGACCCAGAAGGACAGAAAAATAAACATTTGAATAACCGGTAATTAAAATTTCTCCACAATGAAGGGAAAATCAAATAGGCATTATTCATTAGACAGAAGACTTAAGGGGGAAAATATCAACACTTGGACACGGTAAGGTCTAAAGAAAGAAAGTCATTCCAGAGAAAAAGACGGGCTCTTTAGAAAGAACAAGAGTCAAATTAACATTTGGCTTTTTAAATACTTACTTTCTTTTTTTTCCTGTGTAAGAGTGTCTGTCTGCGTGTGTGTGTACCAAGTATACGCCAAGTACCAGAGGAAGCCACAAAGGTCTTGTTAGAGCCGCTGGAACTGAACTTAAAGATCACTGTAAGCTGCTGTGTGGGCGCTTAAAACTCAACCTGGTTTTCCTCACTTCAGCAGCAAAGCGCTCTTAACCGTTAGCCGTCTCTCCAGCCTTGACATCTGAGTTCTTAACAGTAGCATCAGAGCTCTTGTATCTAATTACGTCTATTTTTTTTTTTTTTTTAGCACTTACATCATCACCCCTGAACTATGTCCTTAGCCTTTGTTTTTTGAATGGAGTTTTGGCATATAAACAAGCTTGTTCTCAAATTCTTGATCCTCCTGCCCCCTCCCCAAGGGCTGTACCACCTCATTTGGCTTCAAAATTTTGTTTTTGTGTTGACAAGGAAATTTGAATCTTGCCTTTTTTTTTTTTTTTTAATCTAACTGTATACTGATACACTCTGAAAAATTCCTGGAGAAAATGTTTTAACAAAATGATACGATAAAAGTTACCTTTTTAAAAGTGTACAATTCAGTTGTTTTAAAGATAATTATAGAGCCACATAGCCATCACTAATTCTAGAACATTTCACATTATTCCAAAAGTGTTACTTCATTAATGTGTATAGGTAATGTATATTAGTAAAAAATTTATAAATTCAACAATAAGAAAATTTTCTAAAACATTTCAGGAAAAGCAGACTGGTGGTAGATGGAGCGTGGCAGTCAGAGGGAGTAAAAGCATGCTGAAATCTTGTATCATTATTTTTCAGTTTTTCTATTAGCATGTATTATACACAATAGTGGATTTTATTATGACATGCTGATCCCATTTGTCTTCCCAGCTCCAACTTAGTTTCCCTCTATGTCTTTCTTTCTTTTGTGTGTGTGAACCATTAAGTCTAATTAAAGTTACATGGAGGAGCACAGACAACTTATGAACCACTGAAGAAAATGCCTCTGCCTCCCTCAGCAACCACGAACTGCCAATACCAGCTCATCCCTGACCCCACTCCCAGCAACAGTTAGGAACATAAGTTGGTAATTAACAGGAGTCACTGTTAAAGGAGAAAACAGTGGAGAACAGGGCAGGAATAAGATAGCAGAAAGGCAGGATTGATTACAAAGATGTTTTTCCTATAGAAAAATAAAACCCAGCAATACCATGTCTACACAATCCAGCTGTAGCAGAAACAGCGGGTGTCTATGTCAGGTACTGCCTCGGCAGTGTAGGCTGCAAGGCTTCAAGTTGCTGGTTTAGAACAATGGAAACGATACTGTTGCGGTTTTTGAGATTAGCAGTGTAAAACCAAGGTGTCTGAGGCACGGCCCTCTCCCTGGATGCTCTAGGAAAGTGGCCTTCCTTTTCACTTACAGCTTCTCCCGGCCCCTGCCTTCCTCTGATTGCTTCAGTTTTTGTCTCTTCCTTCATGTGCTCTTTATTATAGTTTGAATATAAAATATCTCCCACGGGCTCATGTGTCGACTGTTTGCTTCCTAGTTGGTGGCACTGTTTTGGGAGGTTTTGGAAATTTTAGGAGGAAATAGATCCTTGGGATACGTTGTCCCTAGCCCCTGCCCCTCTCCTCCTTGTCTGCTATGAATATGCTCCCTTAACATGTACTGTCTGGCATGATGTTTTGTCTAAAGTGCACAGGGCCATGCCACCATGAATCTGAACCCTGTGAAATCCAGAACCAACATAAATCCTCCTACCTGAAGTTGTTCACAGCACTGGGCTAAGGCATTTTGTTACAGCACCGAGACAGTCTTTCTGTGTGATTCTCTGTGTCATTTCTTCTCAGTAGGTTTAGAGCTCACTCTACTATACAATACCTCAGCTCACCAAGTTATTTCTGCAAATACCCTGATTCCAAACACATGTCTATAGAGATATTCCAGGTTCTCGTGAATTTTAAGAGTGTTCTGAGGGTCACAGTGCTTGCTGCAAAATATCACAGCAGGAAGAGTGGCTGGCAGTGAAGCCAGAGAGGAGTGAAAGAGAGAAGAGAGGGAGATGGAGGGAAGGAGGAAGGGGGTGGGAGAGGGATCACACACACACATACACTCATGCACGCACACATACACACACACACACAGACACACACACACAGAAGCCAGCTAGAGACAAAACACCTTCAAAGATCTGTCTCCAGTGACTTCCTCCAGATGGGTACCAGGTTCTAAAATTCCCGTAACTTCTCCCAAACTAGGTCTTCTGTAAAACACTTCCCTAGAGACATTCTTCGTGTCTACTGTTCAAGCAGAGGAGACTGGAAGAAACTAGAACAAAACCAACTTTAAAAGTACAGCAGTGTAAGGACGACGTGGTGGCGCACGCCTGCAATCCCAGCGCTCAGAGAGGCAGAGGCAGGTGGATCTCTGTGAGCTTGAGGCCAGCCTGGTCTACAGAGTGAGACGAGGACAGAGAGAGCTCCATGGGAAAGCTACACAGAAAAACCTGTCTTGAAAAAAAAAAAAAAAAAAAAAAAGAACAAAAGCTAAAAACAAAAGCAATAGTGTCGTTTTATTTTCATTATTGTTTCTTACGAGACTACTTCATAGAAAATTAGATATTATGAATATTATCAAGCAGTCCCTTACTATGATATTATGAAGAAAATCTTAATTATCTACAATCAATCATATCAGACAGTGTTTATGAGTGTGATGACAGTATTATAAAGAGGCCACTTCTTCCCTGTTTACCCTTTCCGTCCTGTAAAATCCCAACAAAAAAAATTTATCATCGGGAGTTTTGGAGAAAATAGCCAATACAATCCAATTGAAAAAAAGTTTACTTTATTACTTTAGGTTTTTAAAATAAAATTTATGGAGAAGTTATTTGCATGATGTATCAACCAACACTGTGGCCAGGGTCTCTCTCATGGTAGGTACCTGCTCTCCTGCTGAGCCACACCCTTAGCTTTTTTTTTTTTTTTTTTTTTTTTTTTGAGGAGGAATCCTGTGAAGTTATTCAGGCATGCCTTGAACCCTGTGAGGGAGGCCTGACTTCTTGACCCACACTCCCAGGTAGTTGGGCTTACAGGGCTATACCACCAGGCCCCAGTCTTCTTTTCTCCAAATGAGTAAATTTGTTCCTGGGTCTTTGGACACAAGCCTTAGAATAAGGGTTGTGACCTCTCGGTCTGCTTCAGTATACTACCTAGGGATAGATGGTACGAACTATATTTACGGAATGAAGTTCACCCAAAAGAGCTGCGTTCACATTGCCTTATGAACAATGGAGTGCTCTCACAAAATTAGCTGAAAATTCTTTCGGCTAATAGGACTGAAAACCTGACAAGTAAGTTCATTTTAATTTGTTGGCAAACTAAAATAGAAATATCTTCCTCACTGTTAGCTTAGATTTCACCCACATCTACGTTTATAACTGCTAGATGCTTAAGATACAATCTTCATTACTTTC